GACTTATTTTTTAATGGTTATTTTTAGTTGCTCTCATGGTTGGATGGTTTGTAGATAGTAATGTCTTCCATGGTGGATTTTGGGGCGTTACAGTTGCACTCCTCTAAGAGAAGAAGGAAGCTCAAACAACGGAAGCAAATGAAACTAATAATGAAAGTAGAAGAGAGCTAGTCGCTTTTGAAGGGTTTCCTCCTTAACCAAAAGATGATCTATCTCCTTCTATCTCTCTCTATGTATGACTATGAATGTAAGTTTAAGTCTAAGCCTAACTTCTAAATTCTACTCCTCTCCCTGAAGCTCCCACAATGGGATTATTTATAGGCAATGAGGAGGGGGCAAGGAAGTGTGAAAGAATAGTACAAGGTCTTCAAAGTCCAAGCGAAAGCCCCAAGGTCTGGATAGAAACTCAACCACTCTACAACCTGTCTGGGGACAATGTTCGAACGTTAGATGGCGTTCGAACATTGTCTCCTGTCTTCCTTGATGGGCATTCAAACGCTAGATGGGGTTTGAACTTCCTGTTCAAGTGGCCTTTGTTCTTCTGTGAGAGTAACTTCCACACGCCATATGCCATAGCACTCTTCCAGGGGGTCCTTAATTAATTCAGGCCAATTTTTGAACGTGGATTAGTGTTCGAACATGGTACTCAAGTACCTCTTTGTTTTTCTTCTTAGCTGCAACACGCCATGTATCATCATCTCAACAGTCTGGTCCTCAAATAATTCAAGATGACGTTCGAACGTGGATTGATGTTCGAACATTCATGCCTTGTTTCAAACTTCTCCAATTTTCTTCCAAAACATGCAGGTGTCGCATGAAAGTTTGATATCCATTGACTTTAGGCCCTTGTACAATTTTTCTCCTGAATTGTCATCATTGAAACTCTATCAAAGCATAATTATTCTTAAAAAAGCATAGTAAGTTGCTATTTTTAACTACTAATCAGTGCACATATCTACGATATTTTTTTTAAAAAAAATAAGAATAATTTTTTTTAGTAATTTGCTGTTTTTTTTTCTAATCTGTGCATAGTAAGTTGTTGTTCTTTTTTCTAAGTATGGAGATAGGGAGGCCACTGGTTAACGCGTTTGGACGCGTATGGAATAGGGCAAAATTTTTAGGAAATTGGGTTTGGACATGAATCTAAGACGTTGTGTTCTCTAGAACATGCGTTCGGACGGTAATGTTCATGCGTCCGAATGCGTATACCAAACGTTTCAATTCCAGAACACATGTCCAGACGTGACCTGACATGCCTTCAGACGTGTGGTCTTTTTGGCTAATTTAATAAGGTTGTTGAGACGCATTTGGACAGTAATGCTCATGCATCCAAATGCGTGTGAAAAATTATAAATAGAGACGTCTGATTGTTTTTTTTTTTTGGCATCCTCTCCTCAACCATTTCAAATAACTCTCCTGTCTACTATGAAGCCCTTTCCTTGTCTTTTTTCCCGATGGCGCCTCCTAAAGCTTCAACTTCCAAGCGAGCTAGGACCAGCACGTGAGAGACCAAGGATACCCAAGATGAGGATCATACCTTCAACCCTATGCGATTCGAGACATTAGATGCCCAAGTGAGATTTTTTCAATACTACGTGAACAAGCTTTTTGTTTTCCAAGAGACAAATAGAGTATGAATATTTTGCCCAGTTTGGAGTTTGAGTTGGGATGGGAGTGGCCATGCATACCTGTTCTGATACGCGAGTTTTATAGCAATGTGAATGACCATGAGGATGACACTTTTTGCACCGTTGTTCGAGATAAGCATATTCAGGTTGATGCAATTTGCTATCGCTCGATTGACTGGGATGAATCAAGCCCATGTGGCCAACCCAGATTACCCCCATGTGTATTCAGATGATGTAGTTGCAAGAGAGCTGTTGGGGGATGAGGACTTTGTGTGGACCAATGATTATAGGTTTCTTCAGTAGGGTGACTTAACGAACAAGTATAAAATACTAAATTTAATTTTGGTGTCGAATATTTTGTCTCTATTGAGGAACAACCATATTTATCTAGATTGGGCTCTACTATTTTATACCATGGGTACAAGACGCTCTATTGATCTCCCATCCTTGACTTTTGTTGAGATGCAACTGGTGATAGTAGACCCCAAGAAGGGTTCTCTTCCTTTTGTTGGCCTTACCACTGCATTGTGTAAGTAGGCAGGAGTGGTGATTGATGCGACTATGAACCAGGCCAAGAAGGTAGTAGTTCTCAACTCTGGCTCTCTATTGAAGAGTCAGAGTGTGTCTAGAGCAGGAGGAGAAAGGGGTCACGCCGCTGAGTAGAAGGGAGAGCTCGCAGCTAAGGAGACAATGCCTATGGAGGAGCAGTGGGTTCAGTTCCTCAACTTGGACGAGGACTTTGATTTGCCAGTTATGAGGAGACTGATCCCAGGACTGATAGACACTTGTTGTTTAAGATTTTAAGGGAGCAAAAGGAGATAAGGAGAGAGATAAGAGAGATGAAGGCTCAACTGGGGGTCGGGGCAGAGTTTCAGGATTGTGCAGGCCAATCTACTTAGTCGGTGGTGTTTCTTCTAGGTCCCGATGGTCTGTTAGGATTCAAAAAAGTTTCTTTTTGTTGAAATCAAAGCCTATTTTGTCTTGTTAGATCGTGTTTAGGCTTGATTTAGTTATGTATGTAGTTCATAAAATTTTAATATAATAAAAAATGCATATTTTATTTTAGTGTGTTATTAAATATTTAAATAACATTTTTATGTATAATTTGACACCATAATATAAGAATAATTCGCTTAGCTTTAAATTTGCAGTTGTTTAAGTATCACATAGAACTTTATTTTATATTTTTGTATCTCATATCATGTTCTTATAAATATTCACAATTTGTACACTTTAGAATTTACCAAGTTAAAAATGTGTTAGGTATTTTACCTTGAGAACTTGAAACATATAGTGGAGATGCATAAAATTCTAGTAGTTTTGGATCCAATCTTCTTTGGAAGGTTATTGACATTTACTCAAAAGAATATTTTTATTTAGCTAATCTTCTTCAATAGTCTCATTATTTTTGTTTTGGTCAACATCAATATTGTGAATGATTGCTTGACTTTGAATTATTTGCATGGAGTAATGTGTTCATTAATTTGAAAAGTGAAGAACAAAAAATGTGTTCTAGGTTTGATTTCTCAAGGTTTTCTTGTTAACGCTCCTAAGTTTGATTTGAAAAACTCTTCCCCCAAAACCCTTAAAAGATGTTCTAGTGTCTTATATTTATAGAGAAAACCAAGAAGCTCGAGTTTGGAAAGTATCCAAATGAGATCAAGTTTTTAATATGTCGAAATCACTCGAGTGTGCACAAGCAAGTTGTGCTCGAGTGCCAAGCAAGCGAGTAGCGAAGACATGTCCCAGCAGTTTATTAGACTCCTATTCCAACTTGTACATACCTACTTGCTCGAGTGAGTAACCCATGCAAAGAGAGCGCCAATTATTGGAAACCATTCGAAACTGGACTAAATGACCTCAAACAAGCTGCTTAAGATTCTCATAATAAAAATATAAGGCTTAGTATACATCATTTAAATCAAATCTTGAAAAAATGTCTCAATTCAAATTCAAGGTTACAAAGGTACCTAGGTCCACTTATCAATCCTAGCCGGAGTGTGACTGCTACAAGTTTAGCTTGATCTTCAATTTATTCATTTACAATCTCTATATTTGGCATTTCCATGACAAAACATGTGAACTATCATCAAGTTCGAATATAACTCACCAAGCTTCAGGCATAAACATGAATTGCACTCAAATTGTAACTTTATACAATGTTTTGAGTAATATCAACTCACTCCCCAATTCTTCCAAATTAGTCCAACTCTTGAACTAGTGATCTGAATCTAAAACTTTAAGCTCTTGAAACAAACTTAAACAATGAATCGGTGCGTGTGCCTTATTCATTGCATGATTGATTGTTTGGTTGCTTCAAACACACTAGATTGATATTTCATCCTATATTGATTATAAGTGCATTGAACATCCCTTTTAATTATTAGCCTAGAATTTTATGTGGTTAATTAGGTCAAATTATTTTTAATTTATTGATTGATTATGCATTTGACCTCTCCCTCTAGGTCCATCTAGGGTTTATAAGAAAACAATCCACACAATCCCAACTGGTATCAAAGCTAAGTGCACTTGAATAAGGCCCCATTGGATTTATGGAAACACAAAGAGAATGTGGTTCCATCTCTCCTCCACCCTTGTTCGATAGCACTAACTATGCATATTGAGAGGCACGAAAGAGGGTCTTTCTCAAATCCATAAATGTTGCAATTGACACCATCACCGAGTCAAAACCTAAAAGCTCATGGACTTAAGTATGACTATAAGACAAGCAATCGGAATTCAAAGAGGCTAAACACTCTATTCACAAGGCTTTATTTTATTTTTATGTTTGACTTTAACCCAACCTTGCTATAGAAAATATTGAAATCTCTACCAGAAAGGTTTCAACCTAAAGTGACTGTAATAGAAACCAGTACAGATGTGGAAGATAGAGGACCTAATGGGGCCTCTCTTGACTTTTGAGTTGCATCTCCATCAACCCAAGAAGTCAAAAGGTGTTGCACTTAGTTCTACTGTTAAATAGGACGGAGGAGATTCAGACTCATCGGGGGTTGGGGATTAGGGAAAATTTTGAAAATATCTTAATTCTGGGAAGGGAATTGATTGAGCAACAAAAAGGATAAATTTTTTGGAAAGTCAAAATTCTCAAGTACCCCCAAATATGGGGAAAAGGGTCAAACTTTCATTCAGAAGAAGAGTAAAATGATACAATGCTATAAGTGCCAAGGCTATGGACATGTAGTGCCAAAGTATCCCAGAGTTGGTATGAAAAATAAAGTAACCTATGAGAAGGGTAAGGCAAGGTGTGCCACATGAAGTGATAGCGATTCTGATGAGAGCTTCGATGGCTCACCATTCGATAGGGAATTAGGTAAGTTCAATGCATTTGTTTCACCCCTTTCTCCTTCCCAGGTTTTAGATGCACCTTTCTTACCTTGCGATATTTATGATGTAAAGAAAGAAGTGGAATTAGGAAGTTCGGTAGAGTCCAATGGTGAGGATGTTATTCATGAGGCTTACAAGGAGCCTTATTCCGAATGTCCAAAGCAAAAGAAAGCTCATCCGAATTTGATCATTAAGTTCAAGTCCCTTGAGAATGAGAGGGATAATTTAAAGAGTGAGCTTAGTAATGAAAAATTATCCTTGAAGTACAAGTTTGGATTTGGCGAACAAGAGTTCCACAATGCGCATGAGAGTAGGAAAGTTCTAGAGGCAAAAATAGTGAAGCATGAGCAAGACCAAATTGAGTCTAAGGATCTTTCCAATAGGCTCTTCCCTAGGATCGAAAAAAACTTGATAAATTGTTGTATATACGGAATGATGTAGGAAATAGAAGAGGCTTAAGATTTGTTGACACTTGCACCTTCTTCATCTTCCAAGGTCGTGTTTGTAAAAGCACAAAATGCACCACCCACTCAATTTGCACGGAAGCCCATTCAAGTATGTAATGGCAAACGAGATTAGAAAAAGAAAAACATGACTAGGAATGTAGAGTTAAGACGGCTAATAGAAAAACATGACAAGGAAATTTTGATTAATCAAAAATGTCTTTCCCTTTATTCCGAGTCAAGCTCACTAGAGTTGAGTCCTTGCAGATTGAGATCATTGTTCCATTGTTTGGTTTTTTCTATGTTATTGATACATTAGTCTGCATTTTGATTTTTCATGATCAAAAATTGAAATATCACTAATGTTTCGTTTAGTAAGAATGATGAAAAGTAGGAGGGATACACTTTCTATCCTTCATTGATGAAAAATATGAATGATACACTTTTCTTCATTTGTGTTTAGTTGGATTGATGGAAAATAATAATGGTTAATTTTTTTTTTTTTTTTGTGCTGGTTAAGATTAGGAGTGACAATCGAGTCGTGTCATGTTAAATTCATGTTGAGTCATTACGGGTTTGTGTTGAATATTAATTAGGTTAACTCATTTAACTAATTGTGTCGTGTCAAATTGCGAGTTGACGTGTTTATTTTCATGTCGTGTTTGTGCTCGTATTCGTGTTGACCCACATAAACTTTGAATAAAAAATTAACACTAATATTTTATTTTCATTTAATTGAATTAATGTTAATATTTTTTATTGTCAAGTTCGAGTCATATAATCTTGTTGAATCAAAAATTTTCATCCCTAATTAAGCTGGAAAAAATATTTATTTTAATTTAAAATATTTATTTTAATTTTATTTTTTAATTTTATTTTTTATTTTAAATTTTTAAATTTTTAATTTTTAAATTTATTTTTAATATCTATATATATAAATACATAATTATCATTGTATTTTTATATGAAATTAATGTATACATATTAAAGATATATAGACAAATAAGATATATTTCAATACAAATAATTAACTTTTCATACAAGTTTCTTCTGATTTTGAAGAGATTAATTTTAGTTAGTTGAAAGGAAAGTTAATTCATCCACTTTTTTATCTTTCTTATTTTTCTTCTTTACTAAACATAATGATTTATTTATCCTTCTAATCATACAAGTTTCTTCTGATTTTGAAGAGATTAATTTTAGTGAGTTGAAATGAAAGTTAATTCATCCACTTTTTTATCTTTCTTATTTTTCTTCTTTACTAAACATAATGATTTATTTATCCTTCTAATCATACAAGTTTCTTCTGATTTTGAAGAGATTAATTTTAGTGAGTTGAAATGAAAGTTAATTCATCCACTTTTTTATCTTTCTTATTTTTCTTCTTTACTAAACATAATGATTTATTTATCCTTCTAATCATACAAGTTTCTTCTGATTTTGAAGAGATTAATTTTAGTGAGTTGAAATGAAAGTTAATTCATCCACTTTTTTATCTTTCTTATTTTTCTTTTTTACTAAACATAATGATTTATTTATCCTTCTAATTTTTCGTCTTTTCATTTCTCCATCACACTAAACGGAGAATAAAACATTTTCTTTTCAACCGACCACCACAACCAGCAGCCCACACCACAGAACTCCTCCCATGCCAACAACCTCCCACACCTGGTAACCCTTCATAACTAGTAGCCACACCACATGCGAGCTCGCTGTCATTGTCGCACCACTACGATTGTTTGCACACACCCTGCATCTAACGTGGTCGAACCACCATTCTTGTAGCACCTACATGCCTCACCACCCTTATCCGACCATCAAAAATCCCATCCAAACCCACAACAAACAACGACATCACAACCCTGCCATTATTCTCATCATGCCACCGTGGTCAAGCATTTATCAATCCATCTACACTCCCTGCCACCAGCATGGCTGATGTGACATTGGTGTCTTTTCCCACTTTCTAGTATACATATTACTTCAAATAAAAAACGATAGTTAATGTTGTAAATGCTTGATCCATTCATGAAACTCATTTGTCATAAAGTGGTGACTAGCATGTGGGTGGTAGAGGCAATTACCCGGGAGAGGCAGAGAGAGAGATGGTGACAATGGGTCTTTCTTGTAGAGAAGAAGTAATTTGAATGATCAAGTATAATGATGCAATTATTTTTTTTTATACTGTATCAATTAGACCATTTAACACTTTAGGTTTAACTTGTCAAAATTAAAATCTCAAGAGGTACGTGCTGGCTTAACCTTCTTTTCTTGTCCTAGTGCTTTTTCTTTTGTGTGTGTATGTTTTTTTTTTTTTTTTTGGGTGGGGGTGGGGTTTGTTAAGGAATGTTTGTGCATAACACTTCTACCCTTGACTGCAATCGCAATTCGCAATTGCGTTAGATAGTCATACTCTACAGTGGTGTTTAGGATGTCTTAAAATTGGACTGGTGATTTACCATAATCACGTCAAATTCAAAAAATATATTATTTAGAACTTATTTAGAATACTTTTGAATAGGTAGTTTAACTAAGCTCACAAGTAGAAAACAAACAAAAAATAAAAAGGTGCTTTCTTAAAAATACTGCACAAAGCCTTTCTCATTTTTTACGTCCATCACCCTCCTATCACCACCATCGTAGTTGTGATCACTGCCGCAGCCGCCACAGCCAGCAGCAGCCTATCACCATCATTGTAGTTGCTGCTGGTGCCACCACACGTCCTCCCCACTACTATCACTATGTATACATATGCATATATATATATATCAGTATTTGGAGACACATCAGCAATTTTGACACAGATAAATCACCACCACCACCGAAATATGTATACATATACATATATATCAGTATTTGGAGACACATCAGTAATTGTGACACAAATAAAAAAGATTTATTTGAACATCCAAACAAACTTTTTATAAAGTAGTTTTTATTTATGGATATCCATTTTACGCCAATTTCCCACCATTGAGGCCATCTGCTCAGCCTTGTCAAACAGACCTAGTAGTCCACCGGTGTGTATGAAGAGGATCTTTCTTCCTTCCCACTTTGATGGATTCTCGGCCATGTCTTTCATCATTACATAGGCTGCTTTTCCACTGTAAAGAATGTCAAAACAAAACTAAGTGTCAAAAAAATATTCTTGAAGAAATAGAATATAGTGGCATGGATAACAATTGCTGAACTTCTTGATCTAGGGAAGACACAATAGTGGCCTATGACTAGCAAAAGACCAACTCGAGATGCTATAAAGAAAGGATCAATGAACATGTCGAATTCTTGTCAGTAAAGTCGTTGATTACACAGGTTGCTCACTTCATTTACTGAAAAAAAGCAACCGAGTAAAAGAATGTGCTCGGTGTCTGGATTGAGATTGATTAATTCCCTGTGCATGCATTTACCAACTGGGTAAGATTTGTAACTTCAGAATTTTTCCTTCAAACTTGTAACACAAGATTTTAAAGCATGTTTCTCTCTCTCTCTCTCTCTCTCTCTCTTTCTCTCTCTAACACTACTTTAGCCAGGGCAGTCTACATAAGAATTAGCTTAGGATCTTCAGAAAAATGACTGACATAAATCTGCAATTTCCTAGAGTGATGTATTGCAAACACATGCATCCCTCCAGATCTTAGGTTGAAAGTTTTCTCAACCCAGACGAAGATCCATGCAAAACAGTATCATCCAGACTCTAGATACTGAATTCAGTGTCAAAAACTCCACATTTATTGAGACCCCAATAATTCACAACACCGCACGACTAGCATAATAAAAATCAATTTCTAGCATGGTTCATGGTTGCGGTATCGGTCATCGACTTGAAAGGCACCGAGACAAATTGGTCTTGGTGTCCCGGCGCGGTATCGGCCAATACGCTCAAATTGCTAGATTAAAAACCCAAATTTTTTTTTAAAAATCATGAAAAATTCTAAAACACATACAGTATTATCCATGCATATCGACAAAATGCATTACTTAACAGATTAAGCATAGTAAAATAGAATTATAAGAGCGCTACCGAAAATATTTATTATCACTTGTGTTCAATATAAACATTTAAGACCAAACTGAGCCATACTATAATTATTAGTATGTGGTTTAAAATAAAAATAACAACAAAAAGTATGTATCTACAAATTGTAAATTTTTACAATTTATAGATCCCAATACTACTAAATATAAATATCATATTGATGTGAATATAAATATATCTGATATAGTTTCAAAATTTTATGAAAAATACAAAAACATTTTGTCTATTTGATGTAGATCTAATATTCTAAATACTACAATATTTTGTCCATTATGTATTAATTTAATAGTTTAAGTCCTAATTAAATTATAAAGCAAATAAGAGAAAAATAAAAATTAGAACAAAACATAAAATAAAACTAAAGAGTGTGAAGACCGAAAAAATAAAAGAAAATATTTGGCTTTGATTAGATAAATTGAGTCTCGTATCGGTTTGAGACTTATGAGATAGAAATTGAGCACTAATGCTAGACTGACTAAATTTTGGGATCAAATTTAGAGTCCAAATGACATGGCGATTGACTTGGGCTTCTTTGATTGGTGTCATGTTATTTGGGCCTCAATAAAAATTTTAAATAATCAACTGCCATGTCATTTGAGCTTCAAATTTAATCCTAAAATTTGATCAGTGTAACATTACTCGAAATCGAGAGGCCTGGGAAGGGGAGACAATCAGATGAACAGAAAGAGAGAGAGACAGTGTGACAACTGGAGAGAGGGAAAGAGAGCCCGGGCAAGAAAGAGATAGAGAGATCAAATTGATCATCGCCGCCCGCAATCTAGAGATCCACGATGGGAGCTTTGTGATAAAGGCGATTATTCGGAGAATTACTGGTTTGTGTTGCTAATTTTTGCAAAAAATGTTTGATTTGGATTTCTTTGTTTATCAATCTGTTTCTTGGTCTTCTACTTTATCTCTTTTGCTCCTTTTTTCCAGCATTTTCTCTGTTGTCTTGGGTGTGG